TCTCTCCTGAAATACGCAATCTAAAGTAAATGAGTGTTTCTTGCAGACTAAACTGTCATTAGCAAATCATGTGAGCAAGCACCTTAGTGCTGGGGTTAAAAAAAAAAAAATAAGGATCAGTTATCTAAAGGTAACACATGTAGAATGTGTTTGAAACATTGGTTTAGCTTTAGTTCTAAACATTGGGAGCACTGTCCTGTCTGACACCAGCATAGGGTAGAAAGGTAGCTGCCTTGGTAACGATTGTGGAGTTGTGTGTTGCCTTCTGAATCCCTTTCTCACTGCTCAGTCAGTTGGCTTTTTTTTTTCTTTTGCACATAGCAGTAGCATTTTAAACAATCTCTTCTGAAGTGATCAGTTAGGTTATTCTGGTATGTTAGATAATGGGTCTCAAATTGAGTAGAGTCAAAACTTAGTGATATAAAAGGAGATTTCACATTGTGTTAGCTTTCAGGAGACAAAGATGACTAGATTCATAGAAACAGCTGCTGTTGCTGTACATGCACCTTCATAATGGTTATTAAAAGATAATGAATGCGGAGTTGGAAATACTACGGAAAATACACAGTGACTTGAGGCTTAGTAGTGCATCTGTATTGGCCACAGGGGTTCTTTTGGTGCAGTTTACCTTGCACGTCTGCTTATGTATGCTTGATCAGCCGGGTTTCCTCTTGGTAGAGCCAGAGCTGAAATCTTGTACTGAAGTGTTGCCTGGAACTCCGCATGGGCGATGTATACAGAAGATCCCTCAGTAGTTAGCTTTTTGCACATGTTCAGACCAGCAGCTGGCACATACTTCATTACTAGTAAAGATGTGATGGGGGATATAGGGTGCTGTGAATCAGTAAGAGTGAAAGAAACTAAACCCTTGTACTTCCCTCTTACCACCTTACTAGTCAATAATGTAGATGTGTACCTACTGACTCTGAAGTTGGCCCTTTTGAATTTGAGTGGGTGAGGTTGGTCTTAAACAGGTACTACTTTACAGTTGGTTCTGATAGATAACTTAGCATGGAATTTCTAAATTCAATAAGTACAACTAAATTTGGAGTCCTGACAAGCTTCAGTAAACTTGAGACTTACATACAAATTAAATGTCAGGCTATTTTAAGAGTTGCTTTCATAATATTCTGAAGTGCGGGCTCTGTAAGACAAAGTGCAGTGAAGGAAGAATTGTTACAGTGTGGTGTAGTTTCAGTACCATCTGGAAAGTTAGTAAAGTTTTGACCAATACTTAACCAGGAGAAAAATTCTTCATGCATTACTGAAGTTTTATTTAAAAGCTAATTATGTGAACTATTTTGTCTTTTGAGAGATGCATTTCTTAACAATTGCATGGGATTTTGTTTGTATCTTTCAGATGCTGTGCCACTTTTTCTGAGACTGCTGCATTCACCTCATCAAAATGTTTGTGAGCAAGCTGTATGGGCTTTAGGAAATATCATAGGTTTGTGTTACTCCTGCCACTAAAAACTAAGTTTCTTTTGGTATCGAATGAATAAACTAGGTAGGGTTTTGTGTGTTAGAACTTGGAGATATTCAACTATGAGACAAAAGGCTGCTGTTAGACTGGCAATTACCCTGTTCTTAACTTACTCTTGTTTTGTCTATTGTTTATTGATGGTGTGCACCCAAAACCACACGCCCTCACACTTTCCTTCCAGGTACAGGAAGAGGAATTACTGGCGGACAGACATGCAGATTATTATTAGGTTTTGCATTGAGTTCTGAAATTTTGCCTGAGCTTGCTTACGTTTCGTTGATTTCTAGAGAAGTTGAGATCATTCGGTCTTTCATTTAATTTTTCCTCTTCTTGTGCAAGATTAGCTTTGTGGTTTACAGCCCTGACGATGTTTGTTTTGCTTGAGGACTAATACCAGTTCTGACATACTGAGATTTCTACAATCTGATATTTTAGAATGCCTAGTCCTCCTTAAGACGCAAACCAACAAAACCCATGGTATTGTGACTGCCTGAAGCTGTTAATGATACGTGCGTAGTACAAGTCAGATGCTGCTTTCAAGGCAACTGTAGTGATACCTGGGCAGTGATGAAAGTGTGGATGTCCTTTAGATATGGAGATGACAATATCTGTTTTCAGGCAATTCTCAACTACTCTTGGGAGGTTTTAGTATTGATTATAAACTTTGTGAAGGGATCTTCAGGAATATATTGGGCTATCAGCTATTTTCGGTGGTTTGACATTGTCTTCCACCCTTTTTCCCTTGCCCATCACCACCCCAGCCTGTACCTCTGCTATAAATCACGGAACACTTTTCTGTTAAGAATGTAGCTGGTTTTAATGAGTAGTTCAAAATGAAGCAATTAGGCAGCCAGGCACAGGTCCTACTTAAGTTTTATATATATATATAAGTGTCTTTATGATAGATTTATCTATATAGAGATCTGTGTGTATCTATATTTACATGCATCTTTCCAAGGCCCATATTCATTAACTTTGTATGCTTTTTAAATAACTGAAGTTCTAACTGTGCAGAAATCAGACTTTTTGTGAATGGCGTGGGATGATCTTTGTAATTCTTTGTCTTAAACAGGTGATGGACCCCAGTGTAGAGATTATGTTATTAGTCTTGGAGTAGTGAAACCACTGCTGTCCTTCATCAGCCCATCTATTCCCATAACTTTCTTAAGAAATGTTACTTGGGTCATGGTCAATTTGTGCCGTCACAAAGATCCTCCTCCGCCGATGGAAACCATTCAGGAGGTGACTGAATTACTCGCTGTTCAGTGTAACTAAGCTGAAGTTGAGTATCTGCCTGCCTTCAAAATAACTGTCAGATGCTTCTTTTCCTCCCTAGATCCTTCCAGCGCTCTGTGTTCTAATTCACCACACAGATGTAAATGTAAGTAACACCACTTAGAGCCAGTTTTATGTTCTGTTATAGCTTTTTAGCTGAAGTACAAAGTTTGTCATAATTAACTTTCTTAAAAAAAATCTGTGATATTCTCTTCTACTACGGAAAACTTATTTTGATATCTTTTAATTGCTTATTTTTAAGTATCAGTTACAATTTTTGCCT